GGGCGAAACTGCGGTGAACCATGGCGGACGAAGGTTAAGCGGCGGATGAGAACGAGATGTCGGCGGAGGTGTCGAAGGCGAAACTGGAAGAACTAAGACTACCGCTGACAGGCAGCAGGGCAGTTCTAAGGGAGGGACTGCGTGGCACCTTGAAGGAGGAAGGAACCGATTACGACGGGGCCGACGACGAGGAAAACGGTAACGAAGTTGACGTCCAACAATAGGTAAACGTAGATATTCCGTCGAAAAGTGAATTGATAGCCCGCCTACGCGCATTGAGTTTAAGGGTGTCAGGCAACACACCCGAGTTACGAGCCCGACTGAAAGCCGCGTTGGAGATTGAGGACGAAGAGGACGAGGAACCAGGTGCAACAGCGACTCGGGGAGCCGACCAACGAAGAAGAGGATCCAACGCTAACGTTTAAAGACGTAGAACCCACATTGCAACCGTTCAGCGGGGTCGGCACGCAAAACTTTCAACGATCGCTGAAGAATTTTGAAGAAGCAGCTGACCTTTGTGCCTGGACCGAAGTACAATGAATATCCATGACGTTGATTAACCTTCTATATTCAAGGTGTAACAGAACTCGTAGTTACGTTTTATACAGCGCTATCCTCGTTGAAAAAGGAGTCGAAAAGTCCTGTACTATGTTTTCCTACAGTGCATAGATTTCCTGTAATAACTAAGTGAACCGCGGCCAGTCAGTCCTGTTCCCGAACGAAAGGCATAGCGAAGAGGACACCGGTAAGGCTCCTACGCCGCGGACAGCTGAACGCAACCGTACTGGCGTCCTCTCTGTTATGCCTTCCGTTCGGGGACGCGATCGATTGGCTGTGTTTCACTTAGTTATTACAGGAAATTTATGCACTCTAGAAAAAAATAGCACAGGACTTCTCTTTTACCTTTTTTACGCAAGGATAGCGCTGTATAGACCATGACTACGAGTTCTGTTACACCTTGTATATATATTATGGATCATATCCGGACATCTAACCTTTAAGTGTATCTAAAATAGAGTTCATATCTATTTATATGTCTAACTGTCTATCTATCTATATCTTATATACATTCAATAAACATTTATATACGGGTAATATACGTATATTCTACTTTGTGCGTTGCCTGGGTAGCGTCATAGAAGTTCTGTTTGACATTTTTCCGAACTTCGTACATCGAATATACAATTATTGAAGGCACTGATATGAGAAACGAAAGTGTCAGAACAATTGTACAACGATTGGCAACGCTCTGGTAATCGAGAAACTCCCATTAGAATGGGATAAACGCAAAAAAAGTGTCTTATGCGCTTCTATGCTAAAACAATGGTAACATAAGATCTCGGGGAGAGAATTTAGTTCACACTGAAATCACAGATAGAGTAGTTAGAGTAGGCAGAGTAGAGGGTACAGGCAATTAGAACATCACAAACCATGAATACAGGGGATTTCTAGAGTTTTACTTTGATTTCTTTATAATCATTTTACGGAAACGACATATGGAATATACCATTTAGTACGGTACTTAATATAATTCGACCCAGCTGTTGATATAAACACAAACGTCGGTAACGTAGGTATTTAGAAGAATCTTTTTTACCGACGTCGATCAAATTTCTCAACGTGTTTCACTTTACCTTAAGGTAAAGTGCAATCTCCCTCAAATCAGTCTATCCGAATGAGACACTTTTTTTTAAGAGTATTCAACATCCTGACTCTTTCAAAATTTGGATTTTTCGAAAAAAAATGTTTAACTTAGCCCAGACCCGAACCAAAATAGCATCGAGCTCTCATGTTTCAATCGATATGCAATTATTAAAGACTCTAATATGAGAAACCAAAGTCCCAGGACAATTGTACGACAATTTAGAACACTCTAGTAATCGAAAAATTCGCATTTGAACGGGATAAAGGCAAAAGAATTGTCTTATGCGTTTCTATGCTAAAATGATGGTAATACAAGGTCTCGGAGTGTAATTTTAGTTCACATGGAAATCGCAGATGGCGCTGGGTGTCCCTCTGCAGTCAATTAGAGCCTCAGAAACCATAAATCCAAGCCATTTCTGGAGTTTTACTTCGATTTCTTGATATGTATTGTACGAAAACAACAGGTGGAGTATGCCATTTGGTACAATATCCAATATAATTCGACACAGCTGTCAATATAAAAACGAACGTCGGCAAGGTAGGCATTTAGAAAAATCTTCTTTATCGACGTCGATCAAGTTCCTCGACGCGTTACACTTCACCTTAAGCGTTATTTTCCACAGGGAGTAGTACCGTTCCAATAAATTCATGTGAATTTGAATCTGTTTTGCTGCAACCACTGCACTGAATGAGTGACAATATATGGTTGTATCATCTGCGAATAAGGCTGTTTTTGTTTGAGGGAATGTTGGCAGATCATTAATGTACATGTTAAATAAGTTTGGTCTTACTACTGATCCCTCTGGTACTCCGGCCACAATGCCGTATCTTACTGACTTCACACCATTGACTATCACTTTAAAATGCCCATTTTGAAGATACAAGTATGAGTTTGACAAGAATGAATGGGAAACTATATCGAATTAATTTATGTATCAGACGACAGACGATTAGACGGCTGATCTAAATCTTTGGCGGTAAACGTATTACTAGGTCTGTTATATACTGAGATGACGGAGATCTTATTAGCTAATCTAATGCCTAGACTTTCTATGATTAGCTTTTTACTAAATATAATTTCTTTAAATGGAACGTCATTCTTAATTAATATTGCTACTCCACCTGCTTGGCTACTTCGATCCTTCCTCATACATTTATAATTTGTACTTTTCGGTATACATTCTGGATTCGGTCTCGTTTCATTTATGAACGTTATATCTATATTTTTGCTGTTAATGAACTCTATAACTTTTCCTATTTTGTTCCTAAGGCCATTTGCATTCCAGGTGCCCATTACGGAGTGTTCAACTTGTCACAAAATTCGATGAATGTCTCGAGCGTTTCCATTTGCGTTGTACAATGTTCTAATCTAAGATTTCTACCTAGAGCTAGCATGCCTTTGATGTTGCAAATTCCGTTTATCTCCTTTAGCTCATCAATTGTTCTCGTAAGGTCGTTCATTTCGCTATTACAATTTTGATTATTACTCATTTCAAAAGGAACTTGAGGATGGTTGATGGTTTTATATGTACCTGTGGTTAAAATCTTATTATCTATGGTTGATTTATTCTGGATCCACGGGTTGGTCAATGTTAGATTCGGGGTGCCTAGTGCTGGAAATTGCCTAATGTCTACTATGTCCGGGCCATGTTTATAACTGCTCTGTTGATGTTTCGGTTTCGACGTGATCCCTCTCCTGAGCCACTCGAGCCTCTTCTCGTACTTGGCGCACTTGGCGCACTTCGCGCACTTCGCGCACTTCGCGCACTTCGCGCACTTCGCGCACTTCGCGCATATAGTGGATAGGGTGGCGTTGACTGGGTGGTCATCTCCGCAGTTGACGCAGGTCGCTGGAATGTCTTTGGATTTTGTACAATCCTTTGTTAGATGATCGTCTGCGCATTTAAGGCATGCAGGTTCGGCAAAGCGGATGACTCTAAAAAATCTGAAAAAATTACAGGCTCTACAAAACGAAACGTACTTACATTATGCCAATCATGGTCTCGTTATAAGCTCTCTTACTTAAGAAATCAATGTTATTCATACTAAGTGTCGAACGTTGGCGTTAAGTATTCGGTGCCATTTGCGTATGCTTTTTAATGTATTTGGCGCGAAACCGTCCCAGTTTCCCGATAAAGAAATCGAAAAATTCTCTAGATTCATGATTTTTCATGTCCAAATTGACTACAGAGTGCCACTCTACTCTATCCGTGATTTCAGTAGCAAATAATTTCCTCTCCGAGACCTCATATTATCATCGTTTTAGCGTACACGCGCATGAGACTTTTTTGTCTTTATCCCCTTCAAATGCGAGTTTATCGGTTATTGGAGTGTACTAAATTATTATAAAATAGTCCTAACACTTTCGTTTCTCATATCAGAGTCTTCAATAATTGTATCTCGATCGAAATATGAGAGATCGATGCCATTTTGGTTCTGGTCTAGGTTAACAAGTTTGACTACGGAGTGTTACTCCGTATCATCTGTGATTTCAGTGCGAACTAAATTTCCTCTCCGAGACCTCGTATTAACATCGTTTTAGCATAGAAGCGCGTAAGACCCTTTTTTGCCTGTATCCCGTTCAAATGCGAGTTTCTCGATTACTAGAGTGTTCTAAATTGTTATACAATTAGCCTGACACTTCTGTTTCTTATATCGGAGTTTTCAATAATTGTGTATTGAATGAAATATGAGAACTCGACACCATTTTGGTTCTGATCTAGGCAGCTAAAGATTTTTTTTTTTTAACACTAAACCTACCACCGACGGGTCAAATTGACCGGTTTAAATGGTATTTCTAATGGGGGTATAAATCGTCGGTAGGTTTAGTGTTAAATCGAAATTTTAAAACTGTTGGAATAATTTTAGGTGCTCACGAGTCAAATGTAAGAGGGTCGGTCCAACACCCTTAAAAAAAGTGTCTTATTCGAATCGAGTGATTTGAGGGGGGTTTCACTTCACCTTAAAAGTGTTGCCAACTGCTATACCGAACTTGTCGGGTCCGTACCTATTATGGGCCACTTTACATAATCTGTTTTCGTTTATACCTTTGTACGTGGCAGAACACAAGCGTTATCGAAGCGTTGGCAATATTCTCTTTAGTGTACCACTTTCTAAGAAAACATGAAAGGACCGTTCGCCGTCGGTCGCTAAACCGTTTAGCAACACATCTACGCGCAGCGAACTCATAAGTTGCCCAATTGTTGTTAATAATTCGCTCAGACTGTAATGGCCTCGAGATGTTTGGCCGATCGTTGATCATGTGCGGAGTCTTTATTACGGAACTGTCTGTCGTGTACGAAACTTATTTCACTTGTTCCCATATCGTTTTTATCGTTTCGTTTTTTCGTTTTTAGGAAGTTGCAATTAAGTTGGAAAACACGCGGGCTCGTCATCCACAACTCCTGTACGAGTCCAAACTATACAAGATATTACACGGCGGTGTTGGCATCCCTCACATACGCTGGTAACTATATAATTGGATTTAGGCAAAATCGTGCTAAATTTGATCCACGCTTCGAGATGCTATAAATAAAACATGATGCATTCTGAAGAAAAATTGTTTTGCGCTAGGTATGGGCAGGAAAGGGAATACAATGTTCTGGTGATGGATCTTCTGGGTCCTTCCCTCGAGGATCTTTTTACATTTTGCTCGCGGAGGTTTACTATCAAGACGGTTTTAATGCTGGCCGATCAAATGATCGGTAGAATCGAATACGTGCATTGCAAGCATTTCATTCACAGAGATATCAAACCTGATAACTTTTTGATGGGCATCGGTCGTCACTGTAATAAGGTATCATTGGCTATTTTTTCTTTTCCTACATGGTTGTTAACATCTTCGACGAGGAAATTTCACGCAAGATTTTTCTCCTCGACTGATACATCGAATCTCTTGTTTCAGCTGTTTCTAATTGATTTTGGCCTGGCCAAAAAATACAGAGACAGCCGTACGCGAATGCACATAATGTACCGGGAAGATAAAAACTTAACAGGCACTGCGAGGTATGCCTCCATCAATGCACATTTAGGTATCGAACAGAGCCGTCGAGATGACATGGAGTCCCTCGGCTATGTGCTCATGTACTTCAATAGAGGATCCTTGCCTTGGCAAGGTCTTAAAGCAGCTACCAAAAAGCAAAAGTATGAAAAGATCAGCGAAAAGAAAATGTCCACGCCAGTCGAAGTTTTATGCAAGGTCAGTTACAGTATTCCATGGGTTTATTTTTTCAATGGTAACGATATCCAAACGCAAACAAGTCAGTTTTAAGTGAGAGACATATGTTAATACTTTTTTTTTACATATAGTAGTTTATAAAGTAAAAATATATCATCGAGCAGAATGCAGACGTTTTATTTAATTTGCTTTCTAAAACTTTATTCTTTTCAAATATCATACCTTCGATTTTAGTATAAAGATGTGAGATTTGGAAATGGGTAGAATGTTGAGACGATAAAGAAAAAATGTAGACCGAGTATTGAATGGCAAAGTCACATTTTTTCTGCAAATTAACGGACAAATCTGCACGAAAGAAAACATTTTCTAACTTTTAAGGCGATACGAATGTTGCCTCCAAGGTGTCAAGTTAGTTGTAAAACATTTCTCCTATCTGGATACACCGAGTCGTTCAAAACTTTAGCCTATAAATATGGAGACGCTAACGAAGGTCCCGATGTTCAGGAAATTTCATAACAGAAATTTCTATATAATGCTGTCTCGAATTTTCTATGTAATTAATCTTGTCTTCGTTAACGTCGGCAAACACTCAATGAAAATTTCCTTTTTTTTCTTGCTATAGTGGTGGAGCGGGTAATAACATTTCGAACAAAAAATATATATTTTTTTTTATTTATTCCAAACTAGAACCAAGATGGCGTCGTCAAAGCACTTATTTGATATTTTACGCCTTTAGAGAGCTTACAATAAAAAAAAAATGAAAACTCGGGCATAACAATTTAGAACACCGTGGTAAACGAACCTTACGGATTTATGTTTGGAATATCGAGAAAAACGTTATAAATGAGTACAGCAAAACTGTCGAACATCCCACGAGCAATACGTGCTCTTAGGCATTTAGGGGTAACGCTAAATGTAGTGGATGTCCCTGCTGGGAGATAAAGTATACAAAATCGCGAGTTCAGAAGACTTATTGAATTTTATGTTTCGATCTCTTTGTACTTATTCTACTGAAATATATGGAGTATGGCATTCCGTACGATATTCAATATAGTACGATGCAGCTGTCGATATAATAAGAAATGTCGGTAGTGGTTTCAAATGGTATATAGGTTAGAAGTCTTTTTTACCGACGTCGATTAAATTTGTTGGCCTCTTTCATATCACTTTAATACCAATGACATGTATTTACCTATGACTTATTCCGCATCGTGTCCCCTATGTGACATGGCAATCGATGCGTTAAGTACAAATGAATTTTTCAGGGCTTCCCTGCCGAGTTTGCGATGTACCTAAACTACACGAGGGATCTGCGTTTCGAGGAAAGTCCAGATTACATGTATCTACGGCAACTGTTCCGTATTCTGTTCCGTACGTTAAACCATCAATACGATTACACATTCGACTGGACGATGTTGAAACAAAAGACGGCAAGTGGTACCGTAAGCGGCGGCGCGGCCGCAGGAGGTCCAGGTCAGGCGGGCCAAGTGATTCAAGCTCAAGGACAAAGTCAGCCATCCGCTCAGGTCAACGCTCAATCAGGTGCATCCAAAGTTACCGATCCCGATCGGCCCGTAACTTAAACTCTAAACGCGTCTCTCTAAATATCTTACTTCAGTTTAAATGTTTTTCGCAGCATTAATAGTCCAGTAGTTTGCAGTTTACTTCGTCTCTGAATGAGCCAATGTAAACGGTATCATTTTTAAAGAGAAGGAAATTGAGGCCTCTATTCGTCACCGAACTTTCTCATGTAATTCACTGTTCGTCTCACTCATCAAGCACTTATCGTCCATCCGCTTTATACTATCGCGAATCATGTGCTCGATGTTTAGGTTAAAATAATGGTATCAGTGGCTCGATTACGGATCCGTGATCTTAAGTATCTTAAAACACGGATATTCTTAGATTGCTCGCAATGTAAAAACGCGTAAATTATTAGGTCCATGGGAACGTCCGTAGAACATTTTTTTTACTTCTTGGTGAGTCCAATCTCGTAAGCGTGTCAAGGTTCCTATATATTTTTTAAATCAAGTATCCAAAATAATTATTTCAGAACAAGTCTTGTCCTTTTTGTTTTTTTTTTTTTCCATTTCCGTAAAGTTACTTTATATGAAACCAAGGATTAAACCGAGTCCTGCTGATTGTTCAAGTATACGATACTTTCACTACTTTTTAGAATTTGATTTGTGTAAGAGTTCCATGAGCTTTCTATATTTTTTAACTGTTAATTCTTGTTAATTCTCGACGTACGATATTGAGCGATCTAATGACCAGGTCTCCTTCAGATATGAAATACGTTTTTTGGTTTTGAGATGGCCATACGATGCGAGAAAAATATTTACTTTCCGGGTTCTTTTAAAAAGTTTATCGAGGTGATTGTCATTCTTTATACAAGGAACTCTATTTTTATCACGTATAAAAGTTGTAGAACACATTAACGCTAGCTCAACGATCTGTAACGAAATAACTTTTCGATCAATCGCTCACGAGATAATGCTACTCAAACTAGAGTCATTTACAGTGAGGGTTTGGATTGTTCTTTTCCACGACATAGTGCAGCACGTGTTACTTTTGTATATTCAGTTGTGAAACTGAACACATGGTTCATCGAAGGAATGTTCAATTACAGGTTATTGCAGGTGTTTCAATTTCTTTTACAAGTATAAATAATGTTTATACAGTGTGATTTCATCGTGTAATTCTGTCAAAACAATGTTATGGAAAAATAACGCGTAAAACGTTTTTTTTTCTCACAATTGGCCACTTACATAATAAAATCAGATTATATATTGGAAAAATTGCAAAGATGTTAACTTACAAAAAGCTGATCGAAGGGATTAATTGTTAGATCACCCTCTATACTTGTACATAGTTAACGATCTAGAGTACGTTTTATTTACTCCATAAGTAGAAATTATATGATGACGCTGTGGACGTGTAATCAGTTAAATATTTGAAACTCGTTTTGCTTGTTCTTCCAGCAGAAACTATGATGACAGTAGCTGATATCTCGCAAATTAGAGTCCAGTTAATAATGCACTTTTAAAATTAGTTAGAATTTAAGACCCTAGTAGCCCGAGCCGGTCATTTTTAAATGATGACTTCAGAAGCGAAGAAATCGCATGAAATTTCCAACCGGTATTTTTAGAAAAACGTGACACTTTACTAAGAACTAGTACTGAAAGAAATTAGATAATTACGATATGCATCATTGGGTCAATTTTTCACGAAACGTGCACTAGAAAATGAGATATCATTTTTTGAAAATCGACCCGTCAAGACCGTTCACTTATTTAAGTATTACATCCATAAATACAGAAAAGGAAATATAAATCCATACTTTATTAAACAAACGTTCTTAATTGAGGTGTTTTTAAATAATTTAGATATTTAAAAAATAATACATTTATAATTACTAACTTGACTTTAGTTTGTCAAAGCCCAATTTGATACAAGACCGATGTTGCTAGTGCAACATAATCCATAGCTGCCACTGTGGAGTTATTGCGATATCAATCTATATCAATCGCTAAGATCCTGATTTCTCTCGTAGTCCAAAATCTCACTTGAAAATCGACCGAGAGAAAAGGATAGATTGAAATTGAGTACCCAAGCCAATACACATACCTTGATTTTCTCGTTCGAGGGCCGTTTAACAAAGGGGCTCAGACATTCAACTTTCGAGTTTGAATAAAATTTACTAAACTTATAATGTGTAATGCAAACTAGTAAATGTTTATACACAAAATAATAAGCACCCCCTGTTACGCAGTTCCGAAAAATTAGTCATTAAAAATTTAGCTGGACTGTAAAATTATCAAAAATTCGATTTACTGTGAATGACATTTTTTTTTGTGCAACTTTGTTGACCTCAAGATGATGCGAAAGGCGCTGAGAAATTTATACGAGGTCAATGAATAAAAATTCATTTATACCCTCTTTGGTGGTAACGTCAGTTTGAATACTCAAGTGGTAACATAAGCTGACGCGTCCAGTTACCGACATTTATACTTATGTTGAAGTCTTTTACAGTCTACGTTGAGAATTATACAAACTGAAGCGTTTCATACGTTATTTTCGTAAAGTAATAATGAAGGGATCGATGTAAAACTGTCGAAATCCTGTGAATTCATTATTCTAACGTGTGTGTAGGACCAACGTCGCCATCTGTGACGTTTAGCTGCAACTTAATTTTTGCTCCAAAAATATGCGTTATCCACGGGGCAAGCTAGCATTCTCTTGTAATTGTTGGTGAAAGTATTTTCCATATTTTCCCATCTGATACCCATTCTCTGTAATATTCCATTTCTGTGGTATTCTAAATTGTTGTAGCTAGGTTCTGAAACTCTTCATTTTCTATTCCAAGCCTCCAAGAAGTGTAAAACATCGAAAATGTGCACGGACCACGCCATGATGGTTTCAGTTCATGATAAATAAATAAATAAATAAATAAAGGCTGACTCTTTCATATCACTTTAAGGTGATATGAAAGTGGCATCTGAGATGTCAATCGTTCATGAAGGTATTCTCCGATCTGAATGTACCAATTTGTTTTAAATTCTACCACATGAATAAGGAGGCCCTAAGGTAAGTTCTGAAACTCGGGAAATTTCATATTCTACCAAAAAAGTTGAGAATGTCTATAAACAAATTTTCTAAAAATTGAAATTTCATGGATGTCGGGATTTTCTTAATAGTCTCCATATTCATATTGTAAAGTTTGAAACGATTTTCATATTCTACCAAAAAAGTTGAGAATATGTATAAACAAATTTTCTAAAAATTGAAATTTCATGGGTGTCGGGATCTTCTTAATAGTCTCCATATTCATATTATAAAGTTTGAAACGATTCGGTATACACACTTGTTCGGTACACACAATAAGGAGGCCCTAAGGTAGGTTCTGAAACTCGGGAAATTTCATATTCTACCGAAAAAGTTGAGAATATCTATAAACAAATTTTCTAAAAATTGAAATTTCATGGGTGTTGGGATCTTCTTAATATTCTCCATATTCATATTGTAAAGTTTGAAACGATTCGGTACACACAGATAAGAGAAAAGACCTCTTCGTGGCCTCTTCGACGCCACTTTCATACCACCTTAAGGCACCTCGAATGACTCGATTTTCCAGGCGCGAAAGCGAGCCTCGCCGTGACATGAAGACTGAAAGTGGTACGAAAAGGCCGGCCGTGAGTCGGGAAAAGAATGGGCCGGAAAGTTTGACGTTATTGAAGCCTCCTTCCGGAGGGGCAGGATCGCCACCAGCGAGTCCAAGTCCTCGCGCCCTGGAGGACATCTTCCGGGAGCTCCCCCTAACGGAGGAAACCGCCTGCGGCATTTGGTGCTTCAAGGGACCGAATCTCCAGAGATTCGCCAACAAAAAGGCTTATGTCTTCCTCTATGGGATTCTCGGATGTATATTCTCGGCTAGCTACGCCTACTTCAACGGCACCATCACCACCATCGAGAAGAGGTTTAAGATACCCTCGAAAACGACTGGTGAGTCCTTAGTTAACATTTTTTTACGAAAATCTTAATTTTGAAAGTGTCAGGATAATTCCTAGGCGGTCACGAGTCATGTGTCAAAGTTTCAGACGGTTCGGTCCAATATCCTTACAAAAAAGTGCCTTATTAGAATCGATTGATTTGAAGGGGTTTCACTTCGCCTTAATGCTTTATGTAGGGAATGTAATTGCGTCCTTTAAATTCGCAGGTATTATCTCAGTGGGCAATGACATCTCTCAGCTTTTCGTCTCGGTGGTATTGTCTTACTACGCAGGACGAGGACACCGGCCTCGATGGATCGCTGTGGGAATCTACACGGTAAGTAGCCCACCTTAAAGAACCTTAAGCGGATATGAAAGTGTCATCCGAGGGGTTGATCCTTCATGAAACTTTTCTCCGAATTGGATGTTGATATTGACAGCTGTGTCGAATTATATTTGGTATTGATCGCTGTGGGAATCTACAGGGTAAGTAGCCCACCTTATATTTTTTAACAATTTATTTACAGATATTTTCAATTTTTTTTTTATAAAAACTGAAATTTCATGAGTGTCAGGACCTTCCTTATACTCTCCATGTTCACATTATAAAGCTCGAAACGATTCGGTACACCCAGTTCGGAGAAAAGTTTCATGAACGAGACCTCTTTGACATCACCTTAACATCGTCTTAAATCTTTGACTCCTAAGAGCGCCTAAAGGCGCCTGACGTTTGGTCCAATATTGCCTGCACGGTCAGACGAATTTCGCCCATATGTCGAAAAAGCTCCGTGTTCAAAGGGTTAAGGTGAAGTGAAACCCCCCTGAACTCGGATCGACTGATTCGAGGGGGTTTCACTTCACCTTAATCCAAAGTAATTTCCTGTTCTTCGGGTGTTCCGTGCTCCTCTCTCTCTTCTCTTTTATCGGCCAACAGGTCGTCCTGTTTTGCTGCCTGACGATGTTGCCCCACTTCCTTTATGGTCCTGGCGAAGATGCGCTTTCCTTGACGGAGGAATACGGGACGAGATTCGCCGTGCCTGCGAACGACAGTCTCACCCCTGATAAGCACCGGAAGTTCCTCTGCCGGGACGACAAGAACCGTGATAAGGAGTGCGAAGAGGCCGATGGGAATTTGGCCCCTCAAGTTCTGCTCTTCATCGCCCAACTGGTCTCAGGGATTGGGGGATCTCTTTACTACACTCTGGGAGTCTCCTACATGGACGACAATATCCAGAAGTCGAAGACCCCTGCTCTTATCAGCTTCTCCTACTTCTTGAGGATGTTGGGTCCAGCCATCGGCTATGGCTTGGCTTCCTTTTCACTCAAGTTCTACATCGGGCCAAGTTTGACCCCCACGATAAATACGCAGGTAATTATGTAGATATTAAGATGATATGGAAGGCGCTGAGAAATTATTTCCAGGTTGATTAACTCATATTCATCTATACACTTTTTGCTGGTGACGTCAATTTGAATACTCCAGTGGTAACATAAGCTGGCGCGTCGCGTTACCGACATTTATATTTATGTTGAAGCCTTTTACAGTCCACGTTGAGAATTATACGAACTGAGGCGTTTCATATGTCATTTCAGTAAAGTATTGACGAAGAAATCGACGTAAAACTGTCGAAATCCCGGGAATTCATTATTCTAACGACTGTTTAGGACCAACGTCGCCATCTGTGACGTTTAGCTGCAACTAAATTTTTCCTCTAAAAGCACGTGTTAGCCCCGAGACAAGGCAGCATTCTCTTGCAATCGTTGGTGAAAGTATTTTCCATATTTTCCAATCTGACTCTGTAGTATTCCATTTCTATGGTATTCTAAATTGTTTGAGCTAAGTCCTGTAACTCTTTCATATCACCTTAAGATGATATGAAAGGCGTCGAGAAATGTAATCCAGGTCGATAAATTGAAATTCATCTACACCCTTTTGACTTCTCAGATGTATATAGTCTAACTCTTTTCTTATCACCTTAAGGATGATATGAAAGGCGCCGAAAAATGTTATCAAGGTGGGTAAATTCAAATTCATCTATACTCCCTTTGACTTCTCAGACGTATATAAGCTGACTTTCATATCACCTTAAAGATGATATGAACGAATCTGGATTACATTTCTCAACGCCGTTCATATCACCTTAAAGATGATATGAACGGCGCCGAGAAATGTAATCCAGGTCCATAAATTGAAATTCATCTATACCCTTTTTGTTGGTAACGTCATTTTGAATACACAAGTAGCAATGCAAGTTGACAGTTCATCCTCCTGGACCCTATTCTCCATGTTTGAGCCACTCCTTTCGTTTAGGACCCAAGATGGCTGGGGGCCTGGTGGTTGGGATGGATCATCCTGGCCATCCTGCTGTTCATCTTCGCCAGCGTGATAGCACTCTTCCCGAAGACCCTGCCAAGGGCGGCAGCCCGGAAGGTCCTGGCCCTGGAAAGGAGCAAATCCTTGTCGAGTTACAAGGAGGACCAGGAGCAGGAGTGCGAGCTCCCGGCGTCCTTCCAGGACATGGTCAGGACGTTCAAGCGTCTGCTGACCAACACCACTCTGATGTGCAACAACCTGGCAGCCGTGTTCTATTTCCTTGGGTACATGCCCTACTGGATCTTCATGCCGAAGTACATAGAGACCCAGTACAGACAGTCGGCGTCGGTTTCCTCATTGATAACCGGGACCGTTGGACTCGTCTTCAGCGCATTCGGGATTCTACTTTCTGGCCTTATCATCTCCAAGTACAAACCTAAAGCTAGGTACCTTGCGGCATGGAACGTCATGGTTGGGGCCATTTCCGTTGCCGGGATGATCTCTTATGCCTTTTTGGGCTGTTCTGCCAACGACAGCCATGTTGCTGTCCTACCTGGTGGAGGTCTTCAGACGCAGCATGAATGCAATCGGCATTGCCATTGCGATTACGTCACGTACAATCCGGTGTGCTCGGAAAATGGACGGACTTTCATATCCGCTTGTCATGCAGGATGCCGGAACATGTCGGTGGGTGCTGGTCAATTCGCTAAATCGCCCTAGAACCGTTAAGGCGATGTCAAAGTGACATGTATACATACCAAAACGTCAAAATATTCTTAACACTTTTCTTCAAACTGGGCGCTCCGAGTTATTATCACGTTAATACGTGATAATAGAGGCAGGAGGAAGAACGTGAAATTTCATTTTCCAAGGAAAATTTCCTTTTATTTATCCTAGACTGGAAGGAAAATCGCAGTTCTTGGGGGAAAAATGAAGTTTCATCAGCGTCGCGTTCTTCTTTAGGGTCTATATAATCGTGTGTTAGTTTAAAATTGTTCGGTGCACCCTGTTTGCAGAAGTTTTATTGATATTTTGTATTTGTTTCTTAAATTTTTCTTGAAACCTTAATGAGAATTTCATTGTTTCTACTTGTCGCGACAAATAATGACATTTCCATTGTTTCTTTAAATTCTCGACATTTTCTTGAAACCGTAATGGGAATTTCATTATTTCTACTTGTTGCGACAAATAATGAAATGTCCGTTGCTTTATTAAATTCTTGAAATTTTCTTGAAACCTTAATGGGAATTTCATTATTTCTACTTGTTGCGAAAAATAATGACATTTCCATTGCTTCTTTAAATTCTCGCAATTTTCTTGAATCCGTAATGGGAATTTCATTATTTCTACTTGTTGCGAAAAATAATGAAATGTCCGTTGCTTTATTAAATTCTTGAAATTTTCTTGAAACCTTAATAAGAATTTCATTATATCTACTTGCGACAAATAATGACATTTCCGTCGCTTCTTTAAATGCTTGCAATTTTCTTGAAACCTTAACAGGAATTTCATTATTTCTACTTGTCGCGACAAATAATGACATTTCCATTGCTTCTTTAAATTCTCCCAATTTTCTTGAAATTTTAATGGGAATTTTATTATTTCTACTTGTCGCGACAAATAATGAGATTTCCGTCGCTTGAAGTTGACGTACGATGTCGTTGTTCAGATAATGGACAACGGTACCAAGGTGTACACCAACTGCAGCTGCGTGGACCCGATTTCGTCTCACGTCTTAGCACTGACGAGCAACTTTTCGGGCACCATGGGTGACGTACTTCCGGAAGGACTGGGACCGGAAGTGCTGCCAGAGGTGGGCCTAGGATCGGGGATTGCGACGCCTGGAGCTTGTCCCGTGGACTGCGTTCACAAGTTCTACGTGTTTCTGGCAGTAGTGTGTCTCCTCAAGTTTAGCGGTGCCACCGGAAGGGCCTCGAACTTCTTGGTTTCCGTCAGATGCGTCGACGAGAAGGACAAGACCGTGGCCATGGGTTTCGGACTGACCATCATGAGCCTTTTCGCCTTCATCCCATCGCCGATCCTTTTTGGGATGATCCTGGGTGAGACCTCTTATACGTACTTACCCTCCTCAATTTACGCGTTTCTTTTTTCTCTCAGGGTGAACAACAGGAGGAGTTATGCATTATTATTAGCCCTTATATATAATAGGAATTATGCATTATTATCAGCCCTTATATATAATAGGAATTACGCATTATTATCAGCGCTTTTCATAATAATCCGGTTGCAGATAAAACGTGTCTTGTTTGGGGAAAAACCTGTACCGGAACCGGAAACTGTTGGCTTTACAACGGAGAGTCATTAAGGTATCTCCTCAACTTCACGGCAGCGAGTAAGTATGTTAGAGATTGCAATTTTTAGTTATTAATTTATATAAAATTGCGCGATAACGTGACCGCATGAAATCTTTCCCCTAGTCTCGTTTTCATGCCTAACTTTCAGCGCTGAAATTCGTCTTTCAACCATGTAAAAACCACATATAAAAGATGTATATTAGCGCTAAAAGTCGGGTATAATTGCGGACCTAATTTTGATAACGATAAGATGTAACACATTCGTCCGAAACGTTTCAATTTCCACCCACCCTTGGATATGGAGTGTTGAACTGAAAGAGATTTTCATTTCATAGGTTTCGTCACTATCGGGACTTTATGTGACATTGGCGTGTGGTATTATGTGAAAAACGTGAAGATCTTCGACGAGGAGATCGAACTGAATGACATAGCCGAAGAGCCTGGAGAGACTCTGTGAAACGGGATCAGGTTGGCCGTCATCAGATTATTGTTTACCTGAAGATGAAATAGGAGGATGACCAAAGAATCGTGGGCCCTGAGTCGTCCATTTCCGGTCTGGTCGACCCTTGGATCAACATTTCGTTGATTTTACCAGCACACGGCAGAGTGGCTGCCCAAAGAATGGTCTTAAACGTGAAGGAAGAACGCAAGACTGCGTACATGTTGCTGGATATGTCGTATGAGTGTCGTACGACATGTCGCTCGATATGTCATATAAATGTGGTGCGATATGTCGTATGAATGTTCATATCGCGCGATGAATGTAGTACATGTCGCATGATGTCATATACATGTCATACGATATGTCATAAATGTCGTGCGACATGTTGAACGATATGTCATATGATGTCATGTACATGTAATACGATATGTCGTATGAATGTTGTACATGTCGCACGATATGTCGTATGAATGTCGTATATGTCGCATGATGTCATGTACATGTAATACGATATGTCATAAATGTCGTACAAGTTGCACGATATGTCGTATGAATGTCGTATATGTCGCATGATGTCATGTTCATGTAATACGATATGTCATAAATGTCGTACGAAATGTTTTACGATATGTCGCATGAATGTTGTACATGTCGCACGATATGTCGTATGAATGTAGTACATGTCGTACGATATGTCATGTAAGTGTCGTAGGACATGTGGCGATATGTTGTATAAATGCCGTACATGTCGCATGATTGACAAAAAAAATGTCGTACATATCGCACGATAAGTCGTATGAATGTAGTACATACCGCACGATATGTCGTACATACCGCACGATATGTTGTATGAATGCTGTAAATGTCGCACGATATGTCGTATGAATGTCGTACGACATGATGTACGATGTGTCATATAAATTTCGTACATGTCGCACGATTATCAAAAAACTGTCGTACATATCGCACGATTGTCAAAAAAATGTCGTACATATCGCACGATATGTCGAACATGCCGCATGATATGTTGTATGAATGTTGTACATGTTGCATATGTCATATAAATGTCGTACATGTCGCACGATATGCCGTATGAATGTCGTACATGTCGCACGATATGTCGTATGAATGTCGTACATGTCGTATAATGCCATCCGAATTTCGTGCGAAAATTTCACGTGTTTCGTAAAAATACAGTAACGTCTCATACGAGTGTCATGTGTACGTCGTACAAATATCGTACATAAACGAAATTTAGATGCGGTTAGCAATATTAAGTACCAGAAGTGAAATCCCACCTCCTTATTTCGTGGAGACTACATCGGGATGAACACCACCGGATGCTCGACAAGGATATCATTGTTAGAATTGTATTAAATAAATATTTTGGAACTTAGAGAATTGTAAGAAATTGATTTGATTCTTGGCGACCTGTAGCCTGCTTTTTGAAAGGCGTTGAAAAATACTCGGTTAGAAGTATACATATATAAAGAATATTATACTAATTAAACAGAAATTATATTTAATTATATAAATCAAGGTATGTGAATCTAGAATTTTGGGTTATTTTTCAATATACAAAGGCTAATGATATTATTAAATTATGATTTCTTCATGTTGATACACATCTTGGATTTATATTATAAAAAGATTCTTAAAATCTGCACAATTGGGCTCATCGCTGGGCCTAATAGATAAATTGTACATGGCAGTGATGTACAGAAGTACCAGATTGTTTTGCGACCGGAACAACTGGTGTCGAATGAGACGAGGTGAAATTTGTACAAACATTGCACAATGTCGCTCGACGTGCTACAAAGTATAAAAGTAGCACAGTGTTTGTTGCTGATATACATGCTGATTGCGAACAAGTTCGTGTTGAGCACTTCCACTACTAATCTCCTGCCAGAAGGTGAAGACTAAGAATTGAAGCTCTTCTTCGGTAATATGTTCCCAAAGTTCCCCAACACGACCTCATCACTATGACGTGATGTTCCTCAGGAATCCTCACCCGATACATGGGGTGTCCTGAACCCTTCAACTCGAGGAAAAAGCGAATTCGGCACCCTCGCCACCAATTTCCTGCCAGAAGGTGAAGACTGAGAATTGAAGCTCTTCTTCGACCTCGAAACCCTGAGGAAGCTCTTTCTGACCCTGCCATAAGGCGAAGACTGGGAATTCAAACTCTCCTTTAGTTTGGAAAAGCCTGCAGAAGATGCCGAAGCTGGTCTGCCCAGGATATCAGGAAGACTTCCAAACCTTGAGCCATCACTTTCCAAGCCCTAGAAGGTGGTTCAGCAATTGCTAGATTCGATGCAGAGCCCGACAGCTTATCCTGACAGTTTCCTAATCCGACTTCATCCCCAGGACGCGTTGATCCTGAAGAATCCCAATCCGATACATGGCGGGTCCTGAATCTTCCCAGCCAAGGAAAGAGCTAACTACAAGTCCGTGTTCAACACTTTCGCCACCAACCTCCTGCCAGAAGGTGAAGACTGGGAATTTAAGCTCTCCTTCGATTTGGAGAAACCTGCAGGAGATGCCGAAGCTGGTCTGCCCAGGACATCGGGAAGACTTCCGAACCCTGAGGAAGCTTGATCCCTCGAAGGTGGCCTCAATACAGATCCAGCATTAGCCAGATTAGAAGCTGAACCCGACAACTTGTCCCGAGAATTCCCTATCGCCACTTCATCGCCAGGATGTGCTGCTCCTAAAGAATTCCCCTCAGGTACATGGCGGATCCTGAACCTTCCAGGATGGGGAAAAAGCGAATCCGTGCTTCTAAGATTCGCCAATCCCGGTAAGGGTATCAAAGGGATGCCGACTTCGTTGAAATCCCCTCTCGGCTTTTTATCCCTGGAGTCCTTGGCCAGCGACAAAGGACTCAGCTTCCTTGGTACTTCGTTTCTGGATGATCTGGGATCCCCGTAATGGTCAGGGTCTGGGAATTTCCGATAAATCATTGGCGTCCTTCGAGACGTATCCGGTCTGTACGGTGATTCTAAGTTCTTCCCGAGGATGGCCTTGCGTGATCGTGGTTCCTCCCCCAAATCGCTTTCAGCATCCGAGTCCAAAACCAGAGGACTGTAAGCGATTTTCGAAGTCGATCCCTTCTTCGGGGCGTTGCTGTCTTCGTCGCTGGAGCTCAGCTCGTCCTCGGAATTTTTACCTTTGTATGAAGCTCCCGGAACATCTTGAAGATGTTTCGAGGAATCCGAAGTCGTTCTACGATCCCCTGGGCCCAAAGGACCGTACTTCAAAATCCTGTCTGAAGTTTCTTCAGGGACTGAGGATTGCTGAAGCGTATTCTGTTCTATCAGTGGTTCCTCTTTTTGCAACCCTGAAGTCCCAGCTACAGCTTCCTCATCCTGGCTCATGTCATCTGCAATTAGACAACCAACACACGAACATGTCCTCGTTTTAATCCTTAAGGTGATATGAAAGGGTCATTTCTATGTATCGAAACGTGAAATTATTTATAAAACTGGGTGTAGCGAATCATTTGAAACGTTTACACGTGATTATGGAGGCCCTAAGGAAGAACGCGATACTCGTGAAATTTAATTTGTCAAAGAAACATTTTTTTTTACTTAGCCTAGACAAGAACGCATTTCATATAATCACATGATAACATAAAATCACATTATTTTGGGGGAAAAATGAAATTTCACGAACATCGCGTTCTTCCTTAGAGTCTCCATAATCACGTGTTAAAGTTTCAGATAGTTCGAAAAAGAAAGTCTTTCTTGCTTCTTGTCCGAAATAAATATACGCTCTCTGTCGAAAAATGAAATTTCAGGAGCATCGCGTCCTTTATCAGGGCCTTCACAATCACGTGCTGAAATGTCAAATGATTCGGTGCCCTGGAACTCCCGGCCGCGGTTGGTAGATTATATATAATTAAAAAGAAAGAACATTAATGCCTATTAAGCGATGATAATTCTGAATCATCATATAATAATCCCACTCACCATTTGTCCCCTCCTCAGGTTCAATTGCCCGAGTCAAAGGAGCCGGATTAGCCGTAGCTGATTCGTCGAGGTTCGTTGTAGAATTATCTCCATCGTACATCTTGAGACCTCTGCTGAATAGACAAACTAGGCCCTGAAAAATGGCCCCAACAATCATAAGACCGGCACTCGTATAGCTGATATAACTCCCGAGAGTATCGGTGTCATGTAGGTGACAAGTAGATCGCTGTTTGCCCCAATGTTGACAAGTCAGATCAGCAATGCTCTGGTATCCAATCTTTCCAAAAACGTGAACGAAAATGCCGACGCAGCCCATCCAGAGACCAATTGTTAAAGCCTTATCCTGGACGTTGATACTTCTAAGGACGATCAGTAGAGTTCCAATTAACGTGGAGATCACGAGAGAATACCCCAAGGTGCTCACGACCTGTAATTAGTATAGTTATATAATATAATATAATATAATATAATATTAATGGGAAGTAACACCAGGCAGTTTGGTTGGATACCTCGAAGACCAACCAGCCAATTTGACAACTGTTGGACACACAAGCTCCTTCTCTCGCTTTATTGTTCCCCAGGCCTGTCACCTCTTCCACGCAGGAACACCCATTATAGATTTTGACACTGTCAATGTACTCGCTGCTTTTACAACCGGCATGACAAGCCGTGTAGAATGTTCGTGTACCTCTGTTGTCGCACACTGGTCGGAAATCGGCATCCCCCGAACAACGACAATCTTTGTTGCAGTACTTCAACAAGTTTAGGCTGTCGAAGAGATCAGGAATTGGTTTTCCCCGAGATATGGATGTTTAGAGATTTAATTTACATAATTTGGGTTGTTATAAATAATAATACCAGACTGTGATCTAAATTCTGTGTTTTATACGTACGAGCCTCTTCTTTCCCCGACAATCGACGCTTTTTCGCATGTTGTAAATGACAGAGATAAGAACACTATTGCTGTCAATACAATGGCAGCTACGTTGTATCCAGCAATATACTTTGCATTTGGTCGAGACCTGGCGATTACCAAACCGGAGACAATAGCGACGAGACCCATTATAAACGGTCGCAAAGACGCTGCAAACGAACATAATTATAGATTTTGTAAACCCGTTTATTGTATGTAGTGCTTTTAATCATTTAAAAAGCGCCAATGTGAAGAAGACTGATTGCAAAGTAAGTTTAATTGTGTGGCGAGGCACATTTTACCAGGACACGACATAAATGTATGGAACTATTGATGCGAAATTAACTTGGCCATGCTAAGATACAATTAATTAATTAATGGCATAGAATACAATTACTCGTAATCAGTCGAGAGGTCCATGGATCGCCAAATTTTGCCAGGATACAAATGTATGGAATTATTGACACGAAATTAATTTGGCAATGCGAAAATAAAATAATTCATTAATTAATGACATAGAAAACAATTACTCGTAATCGATCGAGAGGTCCATGGATCTCCAAATTTTGCCAGGACACAAATGTATGGAATTATTGACGCGAAATTAACTTGGCAATGCGAAAATAAAATAATTCTTTAATTAATGGCATAAAAAACAATTACTCGTAATCGATCGAGAGGTCCATGGATCTCCAAATTTTGCCAGGACACAAATGTATGGAATTATTGGCACGAAATTAACTTGGCAATGCGAAAATAAAACAATTCATTAATTAATGACATAGAAAACAATTACTCGTAATCAGTCGAGAGGTCCAAATTTTGCAAAGACGCGACAAAATGTATGGAACCATTGACGCGAAATTAACTTGGCAATGCGAAAATAAAATAATTCTTTAATTAATGACATAGAAAACAATTACTCGTAATCAGTCGAGAGGTCCATGGATCGCCAAATCCTGCCAGCATCCCAGTCGGCCTCGGGACGTAAAATCTCGATTCGAGGAAGATGTCTTCGTTCGCCCAGAAATTAATCACTGCTGTAGCACAAATTGCGCTGCCGAGGATGCTGCAGACGACGATTTTGTTCGTGACGAGACGTAGAAATGACGGAAAGAAATCCGGACTTCCAGCGATTTTTCGGTCTGAGGGACAGCGAGAAGATCTACTTGTTCTCCCGTTGAGGTCCAGGATGGATTCTGCAGCTTGCTGGACGACCTAAATGAAACTACGTTTTTATCAGCGCGTTTCTTGTCAGGAACCGATAGATAAGACGGATAGATTATCATGAATTCTACCTCAGAGGGCAGTCTTCTCGGAAACATCGCCAACAATAGTCCAGGAATTGATAGAAGAGTCGCCAAAATCGGCCAACCGATCCACCAACCACCGATTTGTTCTTGATAAGATTCAACAATGTTCAAGTTTTCAGCATCCACTCTGTGAAAATCCCTTAATTGTTTTATCCTGCACTTTAGGCTGCCACCAGAATTATCGTTATTGTGTAATTTATTTTTCTTCTTGTTGAAATAAGGCGTGGAATTAGAACCGTCATGATGGGTGGGCTCAAAGGAGATCATACCGAGGACATTTTGGGAAATTCTTTTTGAAAAATTTAGTCTTCAGTATTATCTTCTCACCTAAGACATCCCCAAGCTAGGATGTATCCTGGGAGGATGCCGATTATCCTTGTAGCTAGAAGAAGACCGTACAATGCAGGCGCGTGTCTTCCTTTGGTGTTATCATCCAGATATGAAATCCCTAGAGCGTAAAAAGCGATGTTTCCCACTCCAACGAGAATCTGGATGACAATTAAAATTCCAAGGGTGAAGTAACACGGCTCTTCCTGTTCTATTATACTTCTTGGGGTCCCACTTAGACACAATTCTGGACTGTCTTCTGAAAAATTGAAACGATTGTTACTTTTGTTGAAATCAAGGCCCACTTTAATTAATTTGAGACATTAGAAATTTTTCATATTAAGGAGATCCTTTTGGAATTATGCCAGGTATTTAAAGAGACTTTTGTCTTCGTTAGAAAATTAAAGAGAGAGTACTTTCAAGAGTTCCATTAGTTCCATCATGATATACGATTTTGTACATTTTGGGCAAATTTCAAATGTCTGGCATTATTTTTCCTAGATCAGGTTCTTCTTATCTCAGGATTATGATACCAATGATCATTCGTCAAATTTCCGTTTGGCCTTTTGCAAAGAAACATTCAACGTGATCCTTACAGAAAGGTCTGTTAGTTCGAACGTCATACTTGCCGGAATAGAGAGACATGTGAGTCACATTTTCGGTTTCCTCCACGAATTTAAGGCGATGAGTAAAGTGTGGCACTAGAAGAGACAGATAACCGGTGCTTTGCAGAAGAACGAGGCCCCCAGTCCAAGCTGCTCTGTGAATCCTGTCACCCCAATAAGCTATCGGCAATCCCAAAATCAAAGGAGATATTTGGGCTAAAGGAACAATCCAGTCTGGAAACGGAACACATAGTCAGTAGTACATACACACATGTACATATATATATTTATTCAAACCTTACACCGTGAATATGGAGGCCATAAGGAAGGTCACTTCAGAAAGACCGTTTCATAGCACCTTAACACCAACGATTAGGGCACGAGGGTCAGAATTTCAACTCAGGGACCCTCTAGATTGGTACTTGGTAAATCGCGAGAAGAAATACGTAATTCTACGTGAAATTGACGCCTTTTTTTGGTCAACTCACCCATGAGCGTCGGATGGAAGCGAAACCTCCTGGCGATGGTGTTGCTGGTGGCCACCCAATAGGCCATGGCGGCCGCTTGGGTCGCCCCGATGCAACAAATCAGTGCAAGAAAAGTCGCCCTGGTGGCCCATCTGGCTAATTTTGGGAGTCTGAGTCCCGAACATCCACAATCTATCGACTCACTCGGAATGGGATTGGCTGGGCCAGACAATCCGCCTTCGAGTTCCGACCTTACGACCGATCTTGGGCCGATCGTCATCGTCGTTTCTTCTAACCGCCGCGACCAACAATGTCTTTAGCTGGAGGATGAACTCCGGTCATCGCAGACACCACCGAAAAGACGTTCGCTTTTGGATCCCACGGGAAGAGTTCGGTTTTTTGGACACTTGTACGCACAGGGATTGTATAGGTGTCGAGTGCCGAGAGGCGCGGCACGGAGTACGCGGTTTATCTCGCCATAGATATGGCCGCGATAGCTGCCGATAAAGGCCTGGTGACACATCTTGCCACCGGCGTTCCCCACGTGTCGTTCACGTAGCTCTCGTGTTCCAGAATGAGAGGGTGGTTGTAACGATATCGCGTGGCATCGATTCAACGAGTTGTACGCAACCGTTGAGTCAAGCCCGAACGTTTGGAGGAACGCTTTCGGCCGCCATCTTGGAAAGTTTCGAGAGCTGAGATGGAAGGGAAATGATTTCTTTGAATAATGCTCATTTGGATCTGATAATAGAGTTCTTGGAGGGGGGACCTTAATGAAATGTTTCTTTTTCATTCAAAGAAGTGATAATCGTCAGGGAATTTATTTAAAACACAAAGAGAATTTATTTAAAATGGAAAGTTTCGAGAGCTGAGATGAAGTGAAATGATTTCTTTGAATAATGCTTATTTGGATTTGATAATAGGGTTTTTGGAGGGGGGGGGGGCTTAAAAAAATGTTTCTTTTTCATTCAAAGAAGTGATAATCTTCGGAGAATTTATTTAATCCGGAAAGTTTCGAGAGCTGAGAAGGAAGAGACATGTTTTCTTTGAATAATCTTCATTTGGATCTGATAATAGAGTTTTTAGAGGGGGGACCTTAATGAAATGTTTCTTTTTCATTGAAAGAGGTGGTAATCTTCGGGGAATTTATTTAAAACGCAAAGAGAATTTATTTAAAATGGAAAGTTTCGAGAGCTGAGATGAAGTGAAATGATTTCTTTGAATAATGCTTATTTGGATTTGATAACTGGGTTTTTGGTGGGTTGACCTTAAAGAGATGTTCGATTTACCGAAGAATATTTTCAACATTTTCTATGAAAAATACATTATGTAGTATAGATTCTCTAAAATTCTTAATCAGTCTTCCTTTATCATTTATAGTTCTTAATCAAAAAGTGGCTAAATATGTCGATATCGAATTGGAACCACGCCGCAACGTAACGTTTCTTGGAAGCGTTACCGTAATGCTTAATCTCTTTCCTGGCTTTAAGCGTTATCGGTGTTAACGATTTTAAATAATTAGATGGTTAGATCGGAACAAACCAGTGACGCCACCGGGAGGTCAAACGGGCCGCAGCCGAACTAGCGGCGCTAGTGTCGCGGAACTGGCGTCCCCAATGCCGAAGGAGTTACCGTAAGGACACTTAAGTCCGCATCGTAAGAAAATGACGAATGCCAATTAGCATATGAAAAGCCCGGGCTCTTGGACCGCGCTCCGCCTCAGGCGTCTGCGAACGCTTGGCAGGGCGATCACGTTTTTGAATATTAAGGGCGGGATTACACCGAGGGCTTAACGCGCGAAATTTAGTCCGCCGGCTCCGGGAAAAAAAATCGCCCTTAAGACCCGCTCCCTATGGTTCGAAGCTGCTTCTTCTCCACCTCCAAGGCCCGGGTCAACCTGACTTGTCTCAAGTAACCTCGTTTCTCCTCCTTTTTCCCTAATTTCCTCGAAAAAGCCTAAAAAAAACGTTACTTTTCTCAAAGTTACTTCCCACGCGATGGTCGACTTCGTAACATTCTGGTGCAGGTCCATTCTACGTGCGAGCGATTCGCTGCTCATATTATTTATTTTTCTTTTCGAGATAATCTAAACGATTGAAAGGATTTTCGAGGAATCGGGTTTTATGTCGAGAATTCGGTTCAGATTTGAATTGAATTTTTCTGGAGGATCGACTTATCGACGATCTGTGACTCGATCGCGGATCTCTCGGTGTACGTGGTTCCTCCGCGCGCTGGTAGATGGCGCCACCGGTGGAGGTAGTGTAGACATTCGAAATGCGAACCTCGAGTTCCACTTGGAATGGTCTTGAAGGGTGAGGCAGGACTTGGGGAAAACTTAGCAAACTTTATTCGGAATGGCGGTATCACAAATTGTATTTAAACGTTGCTTCTTACCTTGAAGTTCAAATAAATTCTGAGTATTTACTACTAAAGCCGGGCGATGTAAACCCTTTCGAAGCAACCGTGTAGTTAACCTGAATTATATGATTATATTATAAATGGGTAACAAGCGTTTAACAAACTGAAGCGGTACACAACACGCCAGAGGAGTTAACAATTGACCTGAAGGATGTACATTGTCTATAAAGGTACAAAATATGAACAGTTCAGCGTTAACTCAATTAAATCGTCTCATTTGAAATATATTTTAAGAAATAATCTGTACTCTAGTCATAAGGTCCATATTTATTCGGGATTAATGTTCCTGACAAATCGAAATGTATTTCCTCGAAGGTCCGCCATTTTGAAAGAACATTTTCGAGCGAGATGTTGATATATATCTCTTGTTTTTAAACCGTTTTGAGGGATTCTGCCGCCATGTTTATTTTACTCTGATTTGTTTAAAGATCGAGATAACTTTGTGGTCCTGTATTGGTGCAAATTGTACGAGTGCCTAACGTATTTTGGCCATTCTCGTGTAAGAGGACTCAGGCTCTCCATTAGAGGAGTAAGTGACCACCGGCCGCATTTTCTTTGATGTCAGTTAATTTACTAATAACGTCGCCCCCTTTACCGCGACCGCCTACTAAATATTTGTCTCGTCAACAGGTAGACTTGGCTTCACATAATTAACCGGCATTAATATTTAAAATTGGTAAAGCGAAACCGTGTATCAAGTGGAGGAGAAAAGGCCATCTAAAAGTGGCCAGTATTTTGGAATGATTGCAGTGCAATTTTTAATCCGAATAACCCACATATTACCCTCCAAGCACACTATGTTACAGTTACATAACATGATGCACAACAAATATTCAGCATAAGACAAGCCAGCATTCTCTTGCAATCGTAAGTGAAACTATTTTCCATATTTTCCCACCTGACGCCGTAATATTACATTTCTATGGCATTCTAAATTGTTCGAGCTAGGTCCGGAAACTCTTTATTTTCGATTCTAAGCCTCCAAGAAGCGTAAAATATCGAAAACGTGCACGTACCACGCCATGTTGGTTCTAGTCCATGATAAGTAAATAAATTTTAGATGAAAATTGAAATTTCCTGAGTTTCAGGACCCACTTTAGGGCCTCCATATTCCCGTGGTAAAATTTGAAACGAATTGGTACTCCCAAGTAGGGGAATACTTTCCTTAACGATTTGACTTCTCAGATATATTTAGGCTGTCTCTTTCATATCACTTTAAAGATGATATTGAAAGGCGCCGAAAAATGTAATCCAGGGCGATAAATTCAAATTCATCTATACCATTTTGACTTTTCAGATGTATATAGTCTAACTCTTTTCTTATCACCTTAAGGATGATATGAAAGGCGCCGAGAAATGTAATCCAGGTCGATAAATTGAAATTCATCTATACCTTTTTTGACTTCTCAGATATATGTAGGCTAACTCGTTCATATCACCTTAAGGATGATATGAAAGGCGCCGAAAAATGTAATCCAGGGCGATAAATTCAAATTCATCACCCCTTTTGACTTCTGAGATGTATATAAGCTGACTCTTTCATATCACCTTAAAGATGATATGGACGAATCTGGATTACATTTCTCAACGCCGTTCATATCACCTTAAAGATGATATGAACGAACCTGGATTACATTTCTCAGCGCCGTTCATATCACCTTAAAGATGATATGAACGGCGCCGAAAAATGTAATCCAGGACGATAAATTCAAATTCATCTATACCCCTTTGGACTTCTCAGATGTGTACAGTCTAACTCTTTTCTTATCACGTTAAGGATGATATGAAAGGCGTCGAAAAATGTAATCCAGGACGATAAATTCAAATTCATCTATACCCTTTTGACTTCTCAGATGTATGTAGGTTGACTCTTTCATATCACCTTAAGGTCAGGGATAGAAAAAAGTTCCGCGAAGGGTTCCAGAACCGCGACGAGGTCTTTCGGAAGGGCATTACGAAGAGGGGGCCGAAGATCTTAGCGGAGGATTACGTCGAATTAAGTCAGGGCCTTGGTGGGGCTCGTGCCCCGTAACACTTAATTTTTCCCTCGATTTTTTAATCCCCCGGTAAATATCGGCCCCGCGATCTCGGCCAATGACCCCCTCCGAGGGTCCATCAAAGAAGAACCCATTTAAAAACCTCATCAATGCCTAAGCCCCGTGCTCCTGTAGAAACTAATCCCTCCTATTTTGCGCCAAGTGCAGGACCGTTTTTCAATGGTAACGACTCGTCTTCTTTCGTCTCGGCTTTATCAGGGGTGCGATCGTTTCCTGAAAGATCTCCTGGGAATCGGATCCCTTTTCTTCATTCCTCCCCCTCGATTCAGAAATATCAGAACCCGCGATTATGCACGACCTGGACTCATTAAGGCAATATGAAAGAGTCATTCCATATATATAACGTTATAATATTTATATCACTCTTCTCCGAACTGGGTGCACCGTATTATCTGAAACTTTAACATTTGATTGTGGAGGCCCTAAGGAAGAACGCGATGCTCGTGAAAAAAATCTTTTTTTGGCTCTTGCCGGAGATAAATACAAAATTTTTGTCGAAATATGACATTTTAAGTGCATCGCGTTCTTCCTTACAGCCTCCATAATCACGTGTTAAAGTTTCAAATAATTCGAAAAAAAAAAAACCTTTCTTTGGTTCTTCTCCTAGATAAATACAAATTTTTTGGCGAAAAAGGAAATTTCAAGAGCATTGCGTTTTCTATTAGGCCCTTCATAATCGCGTGCTGAAGATTCAAATGATTTGATGCACTCAGTTTGGAGAAATGTTTTATAAATATTTTCACGTTTTGATATACAGAATGATTCTTTCGTATCACTTTAAATGTCATTAAATTTCATTAAAAAAGAAGTGTCTATTTACCCTAGACTAGAACCAAAATCACATTTTCTTGTAAGAAATGAAATTTCACGAGCATCGCGTTCTTCCTTAGAGTCTCCATAATCACGTGTTAAAGTTTCAAATGATTCAGTGCCCCCAGTTTGGAGAAAACTTTTATAAATAATTTCACGTTTAATATAT